CATGTGGAAGTTTTGGTAGGAAAACCGCTAACTCAGGAACCAGGAAATCCGGGAGGCTGAAATTTTGAGGGGATGTCCCCAACCCACGCACAACTTTAAGATTTCAAATTCAGCTTCCAGGTATGCATTGTTCTCAACTATGGCCTTGTGAATAATTTTGGCGGAAAACCGTCAACTCGAGAACCAGGAAAGCTGGAGGGCTGAAATTTTAAGAGGATATTCCTCGCCCACGTACGACGTAAACATTTCAAATTCACCCCTCAGTTGATCCTCAGGTACAGATCGGTGAAAGTTTTTGGTAGGAAAGTTGCTAACTTGGAAACCAGAAAAGCTGGAAAGTTGAAATTTTGGAAAATGTTCCTCATCCAATTATCACATAGTTGCACAATTAATTTTCTGAAGTTTGAGGACCAGTATGTCACAAATCCTTGCTACTGGGATTCCAAGCAATCTTACTACAGCACGAAAAGCTGCAAAAACGCATGATCGCACGGACCCGTCTGGTGCATGTCGCCAGCGATTCCTACCTCTCCTTCATCCTGGCTTTATTTTTCTTTCCTCCGCTTACATCCATGAATGCCGTTTTTGGGTGTCCTAGAGCATCTTTTATTAGGACATTCGCTTTCAGTTATCTTTCATTATTTTTGCCCTGTACAGTATCTCTCTATACCTCTCCAGGGGGTGGCGGTCTTCCTCCTAAGTAACATTCACTGGTTTTTTGCTAATCAACAAGCATGCTCCCTTAGCAGAGTTAACTTTTCGTTTGGTTACAACCCTCGTCGAATGTTATGAGTATTTAGCTATTCACATAGCTGGGAAAAAATTCTCGAGCATGCTCTCCTCCATCGTGTTTTCATTGCACGCAAGGCGTTCTTTTGTTTTCGCCAAACGAGCCCATTTCTCACCCGTGCGCCACTGCTTCCAAATGATGATGGAACTACCGCGTAGTTTCATTTTTCTTTTTTCCAAAAAACCTTAATGCATAGTCTTATTTTTCTAAAAAAACATTCATTTATCAGCAACGAGCTCTGAGTTTTTTTTTTTTTTCTTAAAGCATAAGTTTTTTTCTCAAATTTGCTTTTGCCGTCGAAAAGAAAATGAGTGACTGAGCTCAGGTCCAGCCGTAGCAAACCGATTCTCTTTTCTTTGAAGCAGTAACTTGATACGGGTTCCTCCGTTTAAAGCAGTTTTTTACGAGCAGTATTGTTAAAATGCCGATTCCGAATTTTCCTGAAGTTGATCCAGAAAACTGGAATTATCTTGTGTGAAAGCACCCGGAGGAAGTCTGAGCTGAGAAAAATGAGGAGTTTTTTAGAAATGTGAGAAAAGCGCGGCGAAGTTAGACGCGCAACGAAGTGAAATGCTGAATGTGCTGTGGGCGGAAACGATGGCGCAGTCGGAGCATGAGTGGTTCTTGACCGCAAATCAAAAGTTGGATATCTACGAGCGGCTTGTTTTAAAATCTTGTCGGCGATCCGCTTCCTCACCATCAAAATCATTCTCAAAAGCGTTTTTGCACGCCTTCACTCTCGCAACCACAATCGGTAAGTGCATTCTCCCGAACCACAGTCGGAGTAAATGCTCTAGAGTGTAGAGAGAATGCACTGAGAAGAACAAATGCTGATCCGATTTTTATCTGACACATTTTGCATAATTTAAGGGTTTTGTCGCAAAAGTTTTTATGGGTCCACTTAGAGTTTTATTAATTAAAATCCTACAGACGGTTACTGTTGCAATTCAGTCATTCTCAGCGTAGACAGAAAAAACAAGTAGGCAATCCTGAACAATCATTTTAGGTGTCACTTGTTAGTAATGTTTCGGAGATGCTCCCATAGGCCAATCGCAGCTAAGCCAAGGGCCCATCGATGCTCAGCTGCATATTAATTGTATTTGACAATAAGTTAGACAGTCACTCGTAGACGAGTAATATTTGCATAAGCAAATTCAAAAACAATTCCATAATTTAGCAAGGAAATTCTTAAAGGCTTTTTGGATGAGGAAAATTTTTCACCGGCTGGCAAATTAGCCGCCATGGTCTACGCGATTATTGGCATCCCGCTGGCGCTGCTCTATCTTGGTCAGTGTTCAAAAATGTTCGCTGGTCTCATTTCCGGTAATAACATACTTGTCGTAGCGTTAGCGACCATTTTCACTGCGACAGTGCTTTTTGATATTGTCGAAAAATCGGACGATGATACGGTATGCAGACATTTTCTTTTAACCGCTAGTTACCTTTTACCTCTTTTTAACTTTTTGAATTTAGCATCAAGGTACCAGGAGTACCTGCACCGACCATAGATTCTCTGAACGGCTCCGTGCTAGGTAATGTTACATTATTCTCTTGCAGACCCGACGCAACCATGCTCGACCTTTCGTTCCTGAGCTGCGCACCCCCCCCCC